AGTAAAATAATTGTCAGAGTATGCTACTAGAGGCCTCTAGTGAGGAAACATGAAGTTAAATATCGATAGCAATTAAAGTAAACTGTATAACCCAAGCTTAATCAAGCCATTCAGAGCGATGCTGAGAATATTAAAATTCCACTATGCATTAACAATTTACCCATATAAACTACTATCATTTTTGTACTCATTGCGTCGAGTAAGGACAATAACAAAATAAATGACGATTGCGTTTAGATTTAATTTGAGTCTCTTACCACTCCCTGACACGTGTTTCTGGGTCTACCCGTCATCAAGTCATCAGTTACAAACTCCTTCTGATGACGGGTAAACCCAGAAACACGTGTCAGGGAGTGGTAAGAGACTCAAATTAAATCTAAACGCAATCGTCATTTATCTTTCAAAATGTCCTCGAAGATATTAAAGAAGGAATAAAAATCGACGGAGTATACGTAAACAACTTAAGATACGCAGACGACACCGTCATTATTGTGGACAGTGCTGAGGATTTACAACGACTTTTGAATGTCATAACCAGAGAGTGGGATAGCTTGGGACTAAATATAAACACAAATAAAACAAAATTATTGGCTGTTACACGTTCACCAAATGTCAACATTAATATTGGTATCTATAACCAACATATAGAAACAGTACAAAGATTCCAGTATCTTAGTTGCTGGATAACAAACGATCTTGACCAAGAGGTCGAAATATGTGCTCGTATAGAATATGCTAGGTCCGCATTTCAACGAATGAAAATATTCCTAATAATCTTTACATTATCGTTAGATATTCGATACCAATTTGTAAAAACGTTTATTTCATATTGCTATCTGGAGTGGAAACATGGACTCTCGGAATTACAAGTATGAGGCGTGTAGAAGCCTTTGAGATGTGGGTTTTTCGAAGGATGCCGAAGATCTCTTGGACAGACCACGTGACCAACAACGAGGTGCTAGAAAATTACAGAAAGAGGAAAATGCTCCTGGTTGAAGAATGTAAGAGACTGGACAGGTATGGACACACACATTCGATACTAATATCAGCTCATGATAGAGAGCAATTTGCTGTAGTTATAGCCAACCTTCACTAATGGAGAACGCACCTTAAGAAGAAATTATTTATTACGTAAAAAAATATATGTTACATTATTATAAAGTAGTTTGTCTAGATTAAACAATATATTTAGTGTACTAACAAATATTTACATTATACATATTTTCCTTTTTCGCACCAGTAGGGTAATGCAAAATATTAGCTTAATCATTCCATTATCATATATTAAGTCCGAAAGTCCGTAATGCTCGCCCTGTCGGATATTTTAATTTATAATCTATTGTTTAGTTTTCAGATTAATATTGTGATATATTATTCTGTTTCATTGTCAGAAAATATAAAATATGACCAAGTTACTAAAACAGAACGATAAATTAAAAATACAGTTGCTCCAGCTCCGATTTTAGTTCCTGTGACAAAGTCACGTTGATGGCAATAAGTAAAAGAAACATGATTGTTCTGAATAATTAATTTTAGTTTACGTAGCAGTTGTTTTAATGAATCAGTAGACGGTTTAAAAGTTACAATGGCTGTTATTTAAGTTTTCGTAGAGTTGTGTTCATGATAAATGTTCAGTGTGTAATGACAATGACGATATAATACTTCTTGTCCACGACTGTTTTAAAATAAACCCAATTTTATTCGTTTTCTTTATGTAGCAGTGAATAGTGTATTCAGTAGTTTTTATCAGTACTCTTCTCATATTAGGCCAGTCTGATAATTTGTGAGGCAAAAAAAGGGTCAGGATGGAATCCATTGTAAACGAAAAAAATATAACAAAAATTAAGAAAAACATACAGGAAAAACAGTTTATCATAAAATGTACTTTCTGATAGTCTAAAAAAACATTTATATGGCAAATTTTCTAGGTTAAATATATTTTTTTAATCGTTAGAGTAAAGTCCCATAATATTAGATATTTGCCTATTATCGGATACTTCTGTTTAAAAAAAAAAAACCTGTAATCTGATTAACAAGAAACCTATGTCCAGTTTAGCATGAAACTAAACCCAGGTCGCCGAGTAATATTTTAGCACTAGAGTAAGAGTAAGTTATCCGAATTTTTGCATTACGAGTTTTTACACGTGCTATTCATAAACGCAATTTTTACACATTCAGGTAAATTTTTAAATTTGACTATGTTGTTTAAGTTAGTCTATAATATGTCCATTTTAATTAAGTGTACATAACTTGTGAATATAACCTTCACAACAGGTGATAATTTGCCTAATATCATATGGTCGCACTGTCTTAATTTTTACGCAGAATTGTGATCGAGCAACCGTCAGTCTATTCCAAGTATTGATTAAACACAGATGTCGAGAAATGAGCGATTAGCTCACCCGCGACTAACAACGTGACGATTTTGGAAAGCTACAGAGCAATTTTTGTTTGGTTTTTTTTATTGACTTTGTATTTTAAATCATATAACTTTAAAATATGATTGTGTAACGAATCCTAAAGAAGCCGCCAGTCTGTTAAAAATATATGAAGAATTGGAGCAAGAAGTTTTGTTACTCGAACAGACGCAAGAGCAAAATTTGGACGATGAAGAAAGCGACATAGATTCAGTAGAAGTCAGTTCTAATCATGAGACAGACTCAGAGTTTTCGGCCGATGATACGACAGATACTATTTAAACCTTTTGGTCTAAAGATGGTCCCAAATATATCGTCATAAACAAAAAAAACTATTTGGAAAGTTCACCGTGAGCGAAAAACTAACCGTATTCGACAGCACAATAGTATTAGCAAACTACCGGGAGTGAAACATGCGACAAATGATGCTAAAACTCCATATGAAAGTTGGAACCTGTTCATAGCAGATAATATCATTGAAGAAATTGTGACGTGCACAAATTTGTACCTAGAAAAAATTATAGGCAACTATACACGCGAACGAGATGTTTTAGATACTGACTGTGACGAAATAAAAGCAGTGTTTGGATTGTTCTACATTTTGCAGGAGTTTTGAAATCCCGACACACGAACCTAAATGTCCTATGGAGCAACGATTCTACAACACCAGAGTTATTAAAAATGGTAATGCTCCTGAAACGTTTCTATTTGTTGCTTCAAGCACTACATTTTGATAATATTCACACAAGAGCTGAATGCAAATTAATTGATAAGCTAGCTCCAATAAGAAATATATATAAGAAATTTAAAAAAAAAAAAAAAAAAAGAGGTTAATCTTTGTAAATGGGTATATTTATTTAAAAAAACCCTTAAAAGGGCCACATCAATAAAACAAACGTTTTCGGACCACACAGTCCATCATCAGGTTATTAAAATCGAAAATGCTAGGTCATAATGCCTGAGCCACCAAAATATTAGGGTAAAAACCCTTTAAATTACATTTAGTTATGAAATGTTGTACATTGTGTTATAAAATAACTGTGATGTTCAATATTAAATTAAATTTGACTAAAGGTAACACATGGCTCAATTGGGTTCCAGAGCCGGGTGAGAGGGTACCTCTGCACTCGGAGAACAACGTGGAACTCTCCACAATTTTTCCTTGTGGATTAAATTTATAGAAAGATGCCAAACCTGCTACACGCCTGGTGAGAACTATACTATTGACGAAATGCTGGAGGGTTTCCGTGGAAGGTGCAGCTTCAGGCAATATATCCCGAGTAAACCAAACAAATACGGGATAAAAATATTTGCCTTGGCTGAGAGTCGTGTATTTTATACTGTGAAAATGGAGATTTACGCAGGAAAGCAGCCTGATGATCCATTTTGTATTGACAACAATCCAGCCAGTGTGGTCAAACAATTGTGTGAACATATTATAAATTCAGGACGAAGTTTAACATGTGATAACTGGTTTACGTCAGTTTCTTTGGCCGAAAAATTAAAAAAGAAAAAAAAAATAACTTTAGTTGGGACAATTAGAAAAGACAAACGTGATATTCCTGAAATATTTGTTGCAACTAAAGAAAGGCCAATTCGTACCAGTTTATTTGCTGTTGGTCGTGAATGTTTATATTAGTTTCGTACGTCCCAAAAAAAAATAAGAATGTCCTGCTTTTGTCAACCCTCCATGAATATGACGAAATTGGCGAGGAAAGTGGTGAAGCTTGCAAACCAGCAGTAGTTACTTTTTACAATCAAAAAAATCTTTATTCAGTGGCAGTAGCAGCAGTAGGTGGCTATTGACTATTTTTTTTTACTATGCTAAACGTCGCTGGAATAAATGGAAACATTATATTTAGGACAAATGTATTAGATTCCTGCCAACCAAGACGTGAGTATCTGAAAATTTTAGCCAGACAACTCATTACTCCACATATGCAAAAAAGAGCGGCCCAAAACTTGCCATTTCTGCTAACTCTGCAAATTAAAAAATATCCGAATCTTCCCTTGACGAGATGTTCCTAAGGAAAATCAAGCAGGTGCAAAGCCAAAATGCTCCTATTTCCTCAAGAAAAAAAAAATCGGAGAACAGCGTCAAAATGCGCCGAAAAGTGTTTCAGAGCAAATGTAAAGAACATACAATCACCATTTGTACAGAGTGTGAACGCGACGAAGTTCCTGAATCTAAGTAATTTTATTTATTATTCTAGTTGCTGCTTCAGAATTATGCTTATTTATGTAGATGTACCAAACTTTATACTTTATGTTTTATCCCTTTTTGTACTTTGTTAAAAATATTGCCATTTTTTAGGTTTGATAAATAAATCATTATATTTATGTTTTTTGTTTTTTTGGCTCATAAAAAGTCAAAATAAGTCATATACATGACAAGTGAGCTTCACGCTCACCTGCAACTAATGGTTGTTAATTTAACCATGCGACCAACGCAGGGTTAAGGTCGTGTTAACAATTACAATTTACTGTTTTACTGACAAAAAGAAAGAATTATGCTATAATAATTGCACTATGTCTGCTTATCTTATGTCGTTTCTTACATTTGTTTTCAATTTCAGAAATAAAATGTCATCGAAATCCAAACAAAAACCAAAGAAATGGGATAGTAAATCCATGCATGCAGCTATTACTGCAGTTAAAAACAAAGAAATGGCGTACTTGCAAGCTTTAAAAACTTTAAAAGTATCCAAGAGCACGTTGGAAGACTACGTAAAAAATAAAATAAAGTCACCTGAAGAACTTATTCAAACCAAATGGGACGTCCACCAAAGTTTTTCAAAGAAATTAAAGCGGATTTGGTGGACTATTGCCTAAGAATGGATAGAAGATTTTACGGACTGCGATATGACTGCCTAGAAGAGCAAGAAATCTAATTTTATGCGTAATGCGTACATTTTGTTTTAATAAATCCCATTATTTGTTTTGTTCTAGGGTAATGTGTATATTTTTTTTAGTTTACCTAATAGTTTTTTTGCAGCTTTGTTAAAAAATATATAAGAGTATCGTTTTTTGTGAGTTAATAGCCAATAAACTTAACCAATAAGTACTAATGGCTCATTTATTTGACCTATACCCATATGTTAGATAAAATCTAACAAGCGAGTGACAGCGTAATTTTTTGAGGTGCGAGTGATAGAGGGTTTAACAAGTGTTGGCTCGTCCATGTTAGTTGGTACATTTAAAGTGTCTGGTCTCGAAGATATTAATGGTAATGGATAGATCCAGCACTGTATTGGCTTAAAGGTATAGCAGCTTTTGTTGTTCGTGGATCTAATTGGCGCTTTTTGTGTTTTATATCTATCAGCATTTTGTGGTTTATTGAATTCTACGGATTTGTATTTTTGTTTTTGGGAACCATTACTGGGAAAAGACAGAATTAGCTATTGTGGACTATTTTTTATTTTTTTATAATACTATTTTGTAGCATACAAAACTTTATACACCATACAAAGACTCACAGAATAACCGATGACATGCTCACGCTAAGCTGATTTTTTCTCATCTAATAGTTAGAGGTAATGGATTTTGACAAGAGCTATGAGTTATGACGATGCACTATACAAGTTTACCTGTTATTTACAGGGCCATAGATCTTATTATAATCCATTACTTATAACACTCTACCTATATCTATCTATCTATGTAAGTAGCCTTAAACGCCCACTCTTGGGCATAGGCCTCCCCTGTTAATCTCCATTGGTCTCAATTTTGGACGATCTGCATCCAGTCCTTTCCTGCCGTTCTCTTAAGGTCGTCAGTCCATCTCACCTGTGGTCTTCCTCTTTTTCTTTTCTTTTTCCATGGACTCCAGTGTAGAATTCGCTTGTTTCATCTTTCATCTTTTTGCCGGAGAGTGTGACCGGCGAAGTTCCATTTAAGTTTTGCAACCTGTCTTGATACATCGTTCACCTTTGTTTTTTCTCTGATCCATGAGTTTCTTTTCCTGTCTTTAAGACCGATACCCAGCATCTGTCTTTCCATTGCTCTTTGTGTTTTGGATATCCTGTCGATGTTCTCCTTTGTGAAAGTCCATGTTTGTGAGCCATATGTGATAACTGGTAAAATGCACTGATTGAATACTTTCGTTCGCATATATTGAGGGAACTTTTTATTTTTTAGGATACATTATAGTTTACCAAATGAGGCCCATGTTAGTCTAGTTCTTTTTTTTATTTCTTCTGTTTGATTGTCCCTCTTTAGCTTTATTTACTGTCCTAGGTATATGTATTCTGCCACCTGCTCTAATTTATTCTGTTTGACTACTATTTCTAATTGGTCTTCTTGGTTTGTCATAGTCTTGGTTTTACTATAGTTCATCTCTAGACCTACCTCTGTCGCTTTTCTATCTAGTTTCTCAACCATCTTCTATAACTCTGTTCTTATCTGTTATCCAGGACTATATCGTCTGCATATCTCAAGTGGTTCAAGAGCTCTCCATTTATTCTTATTCCGTATGTATCCCATTCTAATTTTTTAAATATGTCTTCCATAACCTGATTGAACAATTTTGGTGATATTGTTTCTCCCTGCCTGATTCCTCTTTCGAATTTTATTGGTCCTGTAGCGTGTTCGTTCGTCAATTTTATTGTGGTACTCGCATTTTTGTATATGTTTGTTATTAGGTCCGTGTACCTGTAATCAATTCTGCCGTTCTGTAGTGAGTTTTTGATGGCCCAATGTTCTATGCTGTCAAACGCCTTTCGGAAGTCTATGAATGCCATGTATAATGGGATTTGATACTCGTTCGACTTTTAAATCAGTATTTTTACTGTCAGCAGATGGTCGCTAGTACTAAAACCCTTTCTGAATCCCGCTTGTTCTCTTGCTTGGTATTCGTCAAGCTTATTTGTTATTCTATTTGTCATGATCTTCGTTAGTAGTTTAAATACAACACTTAGTAATGTTATAGGTCTGTGGTTTTCTAAGTTCTTCCGGTCACCTTTTTTGAACATTAATAGTGTCTCCGCATCGTTCCAGCTATCGGGTATTTTTTTTGTGGTCAATATTTTGTTCATGAGGATATGTAGGACTTCTCTAGTTGTTTTTCCTCCTCTCTTTAGCATCTCTGCAGTTATTTCATTTTTTCCAGGGGACTTATGATTTTTTAATTCTTGAATTGCTATCTTGATTTCTTTTTTACTTATTTCTGGTTGTAGGTCAGAGTTTATATTCTTTATTTTTGTGTTTAATGGTTTAAGAATTTCTTGCTGTGGTTTATGTCTTGTTCTGTATAGGTGCGTATAGTATTCTTGTGTCAACTTTATTATTTGTTTCATATCATTAATGGTTGTTCCTTCGCTGTTTGTCATTTCATTTATATGAGTTTTACCGAGTCGTTGTTTTAAGCATTTCATATTTTTGTTCTGCTGGATTACTCTTTCAATCTTTGCTTCCTGCGTTTTTCTCTTGGTTTCTTTTATGTTTTTTTCTAATTGTTTTATTGATTTCAGTATATTCTACTGTGTTTTTTTTTGTCCTGTTCAAGTAGGCTTCTTCTATTTTTATCAGGTTTTCTACTTCTTCTGAGATATAATTGTCCTTTTTTGTCGTCGATTTTGCAATTCTTTCCCCGGCCTGTAGCAATGTAGTTGTTAGTATTTAATTTATTTCGTTTGTTTCTTTACTTATTAAGTCGGTTGTATTTGGGATGCATTTTTTTATTTCTTCTTTGTACTTTTCTTGGTTTTGGCTAAGTTACTCTACCTATAACAGTATTTAATTTAAAGAGAGAAAGGGAGAGAGAGAGAGAGAAAGAGAGAGAGAGAGAGAGAGAGAAAGAGAGAGAGAGAGAGAGCAAAGAAAATTGTGTATTTAAGGATTTAGCGCAAATAGTTTGACCAATTTTAATATCGACATTTGTTGTAAAAGTTTTCTCATTTTTTAGATAGCTTTAATTAATACTTATGATATAAAAAATTACAGCAGAAGACAGGCCTTATAATATAGACTCTGTCTGAATAGGTCCTATATATTGTTTAAGTTGTAAGTTTTTATATAAGGATTTTACCCTCATCAATAAAATTACCATAAAATAGGTCCAGCATAACACTAAACTATCTATTCTATTCGGAAATCCGAAAACCGCTTTGTGAAATATGAAAGGTTTGCTGTACATGTTGGGGAACACGTTTTGCATACCTAATATGGTTTCAGAACATCTTATCTTCCTTACTGGAAACTAGCTATATATTAATTCGACCTGGGAAAACTTGCTGCTACAGGCTGTCGAACAAATTTCTAACTTCGTAGATGGATTTTAGCTGAAATAATGAGATTTAAAAAGTGGATGTGGAACTCTAGCCACCAATAAATCCGAGTAGGAATACATATTAATGGCGTCGTATAAAATGTAATAGCTTGAGATTTAGTTGCACAGGGTGGTCATATAAAATTTTTAAAGCATCTGGGTAAAACAAAAGTTATATTTTAATCATTGACTAGTACTGTGCCCCAAAATATATCGCATCCAATAGATCCTTAACTATTCCTAATTATTGGAACACATTAAAGGTATGTTATATTAGCTCCACGAAAGTTTTGAAGCTATAGTCGGTTCGCTATATTTACGCGGGTTTCGGATTAACAAAATTATGCTAATGACTCATTGATAACTAGTTGCAGTAAACGACTTCTCAGAAAATTAGGTAAAAACTGCATTAATGGTCATATTTTAAAATACAATAAAATATCATTAGGGCAGGTATAAATTTGTTACAATATTGCAGTTGAATTTATTCTTTGCCAGTGTTGACATTGTATGTTTGGTGGAAAGATTTAAAAATGCCTAGACGTGTGTTAGATGTAGATAGTCTAATTTGTAGTGTACATAAGTATTTTACGGATGAAAAAGAAAATGGCGGTCCTTTAAAATCGGTAATGTCTGTTCAACAACGCGTATGTGATGCTCTAGGAATTAGTGAAGCCAAACTAAGAGTAACAATTTACATATATTGGGTATTTTGGAAGGGTTTTTCTAGTTTTTGAACAATATTAAATATTAAGGAACGAAAAAAGAAAAGTATTTTTAAATTGTGTTAACATTAAATGTTTTGCCAAATTTTGTCATAAGTATGTACAAAAACATATCAGTCTTTTCAAATAATAAATATGTAACATAAATCATTGTTCGGGTGCACGCTTCAAGTGATGTTTCCCATCAAATTTACTGTCTGTAATTATTTTAGTGGTTAATGTTCTCGATCTTCCTATTTCACATTTTTTACTTTAGAATCAACTTTAGGTAGAGGACTGATACATATCGACGAGAAAACTGATATATTATTAATTGACTTTTTAACTCGTCTATAGAGAAGTCAGAAATTTACTAACGCCGTATTATTTATTCATGTGAATATTGGCTAGTATAAGTTCTTAACTCTGCTGCCCTTTACTGTGGCTTATAAGCTTTTTATTTCATGCCAAATAAGCTTATGTAACATTAATAGAGTTAAGTTCATTCAAGCTGCGAATGGCCAAAATTCACAGAACAACAACGAAAAGAAAAACAAATAAGTAGCAAAAGTATTCTTCTAAAGCTGTTTTCTTGGCATTTAAGGCATTTACTATTTTTCTTGGGAATAAGTCACAATTTAAGTTTGAAGATTATTTGCACTTTGGATAATCGTTATCAAAATATAAAACATTAACAAATTAAACAAATTTTGTTTTTTTGTTACTTGGTAAAAGATTCTTCGAATAATTTAATTGTATTTGACTAAAAGTTTACAAGAGCTTTAACACTTATCCCTTTTTGATGCATTCAGATACTTACCTAATTTTTTCCGTAGCAGATAACGCTTTTTTCGAATACCGTT